AAAGGGTCAGCATCAATTAACTGTTCTGGTTGATCGCCTCACGTTAGAAAATTATTTGCAAAACCCCGTGAGCGCCTCAACTTAGGCAAACCTCAAGATGATCTCTCAGAATATGTAACTGACTTTGCCCATCTCTATCTGCAACCCCTATTATTTCAAAGTGACTTTTATAAATAAAAAACTTGAATATTAAAATTTATGACTTATATGATACAGTAGGGTTACATGATTTTATATTAAGCTGGGTACCTTTTTCTAACTTATTTTAACATACTAAAGCGCGAGGTGACCTCATTCAAGTCTAACTTTTGAGTTCAGCAGATTATAGATTTTCAAATATATATTTGTATTTTTTTTATATTTGATAAATCACTCATCAATATAATTTCCTGAATTAAAAACTTACTTCGTGTGAGATATGATGCAATTTGCGCAAATATAATATCATCATCTACGAGAGCAATTATTGAGTGTGTGCAAGGTTGATGGCGTATTACCCAGCCAAAATTATCTCTTTTATTTCAGTATGTAAAGTGCATTCGTAAAATTTCTTCTTTCAACGAAAACTCTCACTATGTGTTGCATCAACCGTCCTGTACTTTGAATGTTTTTTTTTGTGAATTGAAGACATAACAGAAATATATAATTTTTAAAATTTTTAGTTCGTACATTATAAAAAAGGACCATTATAAAGAGAATTGACCGTACTTAATATGTAAGAAGAGTATATTACAGTAATTTCAGAAGTATGTGAAGTTAACAAAGCTTATAAAATATAGGTTTAAATAGTGAAACGGTTTTAACATTAAGGAACACTACTATTATTCTTTTTTTTAAGATACGATACGGTGTAGATTATGAAAGTTTTTTTTTCATTTAAAAAAAAAAAAATTTTTTTTTATGAACTATATTAGATATAGTACGTGTTTATTTGTGATTTATTATCATATTTTTAAAGCCAATATTTTTCTTATACGCATATTATATTAAGATCTTTGACGTTCTGTCTGTAAAAATTCCGAAAATTATAATTTATAAACATTATAAAATTAAAGAATACGAATATTTTTTGAATTTAAAAAACAAGACAATGAATGATTCGAGTGAATACTTTATCCAAGTAATGTCAAGCATCAAAGGGATATTATTTATTATGTTTACATCATGAATGCAATAAATCCCGTATCAGATATTAAGAAGATAATAACATATTTGTTTATAAAAGTAATCTGTAATCTAATCTAGTAATTTTATACTAAAAGTTTACATACTCAATAAATTCAGTTTTTAAAAGCCAAATAGATTCATATATTGGACTGAAGCAATTACTGCAAGTAAATGTTGAAAGATGAAGAGTTTCATTTTGAGGAGCAATACACCAAGAGCATTCAGAAGCTGTTTCACCAGGCTCACCATGAACACAAAGACTTCGATGAACTCCAACAAGGTTTTTGATACACACAGGTTCTTCAAGACTCTCAAGAAAACAACCTAAAGAGACAAATTCATCCGGAT